AAGGTAGCCAATCCTCCGGTGTGACTTTTGAGAATCGTAGCTATGGTCCAGGCGAGCAAATCGATAACCTAACAAAATTAATTACACATCAGAACATATTCAATAAGTTTTATTTATTTTCTACTTTCTACTTACCACACCGCCAACCCATTCTGTAGGCTTCAACGTTGCAACGTCGTATACAGTAGCGAATTGATTTCCCATTGATATTACAGAATATCTGTATGAATCATTAGGATTAATATCTTGTCATGAAATATTAAATATCACTCACAAAACAATATATTTCACTTACCCGATTCTAACTCGCTATTCCATAAATAATCCAAATTGCAGCTTCGATGTCATCAATTCCGTTGGAATGTCCGCTTTTTCAACCTACAATTTTGCATACAATTTTTGTCACAACAACATAATAAAAATCAAATTAAGTATTCTTTTATTAAACTTACCTTCTGCTTCTTCTTCTGGGGTGCAGGACATTCCGAATCCAAAACTGCTGCTATGACACTCTCCGTGTATAAAGCACATTGGGCCTCTCCTTCCTCCTCATTTCTTCCATCTCTTCTTCTTCCTCCTCCCTCTTTTCTTCTTCATATTTTTTCAGTTCATCGTACTTTTTTTCTACATAGCTCTTCATATCTTTATTTCACCCTTCAATTGAGCTCCTTCATCCGAGTATTTATCAACCACCCCCTTCACCCCGTAAGTTCACTCCTCAAATCAACAACTCCTTCACCACTCCTCAAATTTTTCTCCCGTCACCATCTTAATATCACCCTTAACACCGAAACTTCTTTCACCACTTCACCCCTCAACACCTCTACTTCTTTCACCACTCCATCTATTTTTCCTTCCACTACCCCCTTATGCCTCTCGAGTTTCTCTACGACTTGATCAAGTTTCTCTTCGACTCTTGATTGTCTTTGCATGATTTCAATTGGATTTTTTTGATATCAGCCAATTCAGACATCAAATGTCGAAGTTACTCTGTTTTGCTTCACCGTCGTCCCACTCACCTTCATCCCCCAATACAACCATCCTCCTTTCTCTCCTCTGCCTCCACTGCCTCCTCTACATCCTTGCCAATAACCTTCAAAAAATTAAATTACAATATTAAGACATTGATTATATTCTTAATATTATTTAATTACATTTATTACCATTTCTTGCTTCTTCCCTCTATCCAACTTCAACTTCACCATCACTCTAACCACCTCTTCCTTCCCCCATGCACGGATGCGTGCCACTCCGGTTCTTTCATAAGCCGGCACTGCCTCACAGCCCGACCAAAAATCGAACAGTGCAACCTGCATTTATAATAAAATTAGAATTTTTATATAAAAACACAAAAAAGTGATTCAACTCATTTACCTCTAAGATTGCTATGCACCCTTTGAGGTATCTCTGGCTGCCCTTTTTAAAGGTGATAATTGATTCAATCAATCTCGAATGGATATATTCAGCCCAATTGAATTCACCCTTCAAGCCTTCATCGCAAATGAGCTTCATATATCCTTGTTCGTTGACGTATCACCCGTTGGACAAAGAAATATACCGACAAGGTACAATAGAACTCGGGCCTTCAGCTCATCCCCCAAGTAAGATCCACTTTTGATATCCTCTTCAACTTCAGTATATGTCACCTTATGATTCAAACCATATTTGGAGGCAAGTGCTTTCCAGTTCTTACTCCTACAGACTTCTATAACACTTTTGCCTTTGTTTTGTACCCCCAATACGGCTGCAGCAGTCGATACCCCCAGAGGGAATGAATAATCACCATACTTAGCCATACATTGACTGACGTCAAATTGTGCCATCAAGGATCGACACAATTCCCTCCGAATAGGTCGATCCCTTACTCCGATCAACGATCCAAAACCTATTTCTCCCAGCACATTCAACTGACCCTTCTCCTTAAGGTGTTTAATTAATAAATTCACCCTTTTAATGCTGCATCTTGTCGAAACTTCCTACATTTTTAACAATATATAATGTTATAGTTCTTATATATTTTGTATCAACGTATTTACAAGTTTAATGAATACCTTATTTTCATGTGCTTTCCTCCGTTCTTTGTATTCTTTACTATCATTCCTTGACTGTGTGATGTAAGGTTCCTTTTCAGCATCACTCATTGAATTCCATTTGGACCTCACATCTTTTTTCACCTAATATTAAAATAAACGTTTCTTAATCAATACATTAACACTAAATACTAATACTACTCAATGTCAATTTCATTTTACATACCGAACCGCTCTGTGTGCCATCTCCCTTCATCCTTTTGCATTCGGCCATACTGTTAACATTTAAAATTTGTAATCAATTTAAAGTTTATCGATACTTTAATCCAATTACCATTTCAACAATAATAACAAAAAGACATTGATACTTACTAGAAGTACATATATCCACCCTTTGGTTGCTTTCGAGTCTCGGCCTCAATTTCAAAGTCATCTGCTCCACCAACAATTTTCCAACCCATTGACTCCATTTTTCCTTCATATATCAGTTTACGCAAATCAAATTATTTTGTTACATACACTTTTCAATATACAAATATAGATAACTACTCTTGTGGTAAAACGGTTTTCTTCAAAAGAATTTGAATGGCCACACCAAAATGTGTCGGCATTTATACAACCTATAATATCATTTTCTACCTATAATATTTAATAAAAGTATCGACATTTATCGTTTTCCTTGAATATCTATTTCTACCTGCAATCGGTCCCAAATGCTTCCTTACTCCAAAACCCCAAACAACACATAAAAAACCCTATCGCGATTACTGTAATAATAAAAAATTAGGGTTTCGACAACATACTTTCGATTCGACTGCAGCAACAAACAAACAAACTTCGCTTTAGAAACGCCTTCTGAAATGCAGCAACAATTACTCTTCGATTTCAAAAACTCGTCCGTTCTATCTATTTTCAGAGGATATTTAGCTTATATTTTCATCGGATATGTTATTTATATTTAATCGATACAAATACAAAAGTGTCGATACTTTTATGTCAGGTGTCGATACTTTCGAAAGGATAATTACCTATTTCTTTGAAAGTGTCGATAATTTATTACACGTACTTACGAAAGTATCGACACTTTCAATATATCCGGTATCATTTTACCGTTTTTATCATTTTGATACCGGTTTTATCATATTTTACCTGTTATATCGTTGTGGATCGATATTTTTTTTAAAGTATCGACACATTATAGGCACTATAACTGCTTCTCTTTTAAATTCACAAAGTGTCGATCCTTATATAACGTATCGACACTTTTAATTTTACCGGTTTTATCATTTTGTTACCGGTTTTATCATATTTTTACCTGGTATATCGTTTTGGATCGATATATTTCTTAAAAGTATCGACACTTTTTAGGATTTAAAACTGCTTTTAAAGTTATGTAATTTATGTTTCAATTTATTAATAGTGTTTTATGTTTTCCACCTACAATATTAATTTAATAATTTAATTTACACAAAATTTTATTTGATTGTTTTGATATTTTATAAAATATTATTTAGAATTTAAATTTAACAATATTAACCAAATATAATAATAAATATGTTTTCAACAGTGAAATAAGTATGGACACTTTTATAAAAATGATATATACTTTTTGAAAGTTATGTAATTTATGTTTCAATTTTTTTAATAGTGTTTCATGTTTTCCACCTACAATATTAATTTAATAATTTCATTTACACAAAAAATTATTTGATTGTTTTGATATTTTATAAAATATTATTTAGATTTTAAATTTAACAATATTAACTAAAGATAATAATAAATATATTTTCACAGTGAAATAAGTATGGACACTTTTATAAAAAGGATAGATAATTTACAATATAACAGGTAAAAATATGACAAAACCAGATTCATTATGACAAAACCGGTAAAATTTACTTGATATGTTAAAAGTATGGACACTTTTATAAAAATGATAGATACTTACCGATAACCAAAGTTTACCGGTTACCAAATTTTTTAATAGTTTTTCATATTTTCTACCTAAAACATTATTAGTTGTCAACATAATAGGTACCGCTAAACCGAATTTATTAAATACATTTTAATGTATCCGGTAATGCTGTATATTAGCCGTATATTAACCCGCCTTTCCTGAGACATTCCTCCTCCACCCGCCCTTTCTAAATTCAACTCATTTACTGAATTCATGGAAATACCCTCGCCCCACTTTGAGTTCGCCGGTCCCTTTTTTTGGACGGTCTGACTGAAATCACCTTTCTACCACGGATCCTCAATAATAACCCTAAAGAAAAAGATGGTAGACGACGCCTTTAGCCTTTAGCTATGGTGGATCCAATGCCAATGGTGTAGATTTAAAGATACCGTTTAATATGTATTTATGCAATATATTATGTTTGTGTACGTAGAAAAGTATTTGTACAAATAGTATTCGAAGTTCGAAGAAAAAGAAAATAAATAAAATCAGTATTTATTAAATAATGAATTGATAATATATAATAGCCTATGTAAATTAAGAATTGAATTGGCGAAGTAAGGCGTGTATCATGTGAATTATCTTTGGTCAGATCATGGAGGCAGCAACTTCTTAACATTCGACTTGTTCTTCACCTTGCATACTAATTCACAGGGATAATTTAGTCAGTACACTTCGTTTTTTAGGTTATAAATGGACGAATTTCACTTTCTCTTTAAGTTGCGTACGTTAAGTATTATTGCCAGAAACAGCATTATGTAAAGATAGATAAGTTAGTTATTGGCTTAGAGGTGATTCCTCTCTCTTAATAGGTACGAAATTACCAAAAACGCGTTCTCAAGTGCAATTCGGTAAATTTACCCAAAATTGGAGTTATACAATAACTACGGGATCAACAATATAATTGGAAACTTTAATAGGGGCATGATCGCCAATTCCAATATTTAAATTATTATTTACGGCCACTACAAGAATCCTCCCGCGGCCGCTGGAACTAGAAACCGTGATTGCGTTTCTCCATTTAACAGAGGAGTAACTTACAAACGAAACGAAACAAAAAAAGCGAGAGAAAGGAAGAGTTTCATTGGGGAAGGGGAGTTAAGAATCTAGTGAGCTCAGCCAAGTTAGAGGTAATGATCTTTCTGTTCATGCATTCTTGTTGTTTGCTCTGTAAAGTTCGAATGCTTGTAAATAGTTTTTGGAAGCAAATTTGACAAGCCGAGTTTTCTTTTTTCCTTTTCCTTCCCCGGTGATCTCTGTATTCACACATAAAAAAGTATTTAACTCTCGATCGTGTTTTGTTTGCGTATTATGTTCTATTTCTAATATTTTCTGCAAAATTTTGAAGTTCCCTTTGAATTCTCTTTTTATGTAGAATCATTGACTATGAGTCTATTTAAACTTTGGGTACGATCTTGATTTCTATGATGAATTTGAGTCTGTTTCGTGTTTGAAAGAAATGAAAATCGGGGGTCTTTCCTCTGGAGAAGACAAGGTGTATTAATTTCTAAAGGAATGGTTTCCCTTTTCGCCTTTGAAAATTCTATTGAACTTTGACTACAATTTGACGGAGTTTTTAGCACGCTATCTCAATCGTATAGAGCTTTGATGTTTTTTTTTTCTCTTGATCGTTCTTTTGATTTCCTTTTACGAGGCAAAACAAGATTAATTTGAGGACTGATTTATTTTCATGGAAAATTAGCATGTTCTGACTCTTATATTGGGCTATTTCTTAGTATTGTCTTAATCGAGTGATCTCTTTGTTTTGGTTTAGAATGAATCAAATTCAACTTTATTGTTTGATTATAATTTACTTCATAATCTGGAGTTTTATTTGATTATATTTCGTTTGGAGTGTTGTATTTGTTTAGATTCCCACGTTGCTAATTGATTTCACAATTTTCCAGCTTGTTGTTGTTGAGGGGAATTAGCAGCTCTGCTTTCTCATATTTTTTGGACGGAATCGAAGTGCATGGGTCCTCTAGGTGAATTGCCAGCTTTGAGAAATCACAGAAAGCCTCTTGGGATTCGTTTCTTAGAACACATTAACAAAGGGAAACTATCCTATAAAACTCATCAAGCCATTGTCTTGATTGTAACATTTCTCGCTTACACTAGCTACCATGCCACAAGGAAAACAACCAGCATCGTCAAGAGTGCTCTCAATCCCCAGTCACCCGATGTAAGCTTGAATTTTCCATGGAGGATAACATACCTCAGTTCACCCGTTGAAAACAAAAGAGTTTCTTGGGTTCTAGGAGATGGTTGGGCACCATTTAACCGATCCGATGGATCCGTCTTGCTTGGTGAATTGGACGTGGCATTCCTCGCGATATATGCTTTTGGAATGTACTTCTCTGGACATTTGGGTGATAGAATGAATTTAAGGATCTTTTTGACAGTGGGAATGATCGGAACTGGCTTGTTTACTTCACTATTTGGTGTTGGGTTCTGGGCTAATATCCATAGCTTTTACTACTACCTTATAGTGCAAATGGTTGCCGGTTTATTTCAATCAACAGGGTGGCCTTCGGTTGTTGCAGTGGTCGGTAACTGGTTTGGGAAGAAAAAGCGAGGTTTGATTATGGGCATATGGAATGCTCACACATCTGTTGGGAACATTACCGGTTCATTGATTGCTTCGGCACTATTGAGCTACGGATGGGGTTGGTCCTTTGTTGTGCCTGGTCTGCTTATTGCTTTCATTGGCTTGTCGGTTTTCCTTTTGTTGCCCGTTAGTCCCGAATCAGTCGGAGCTGAAAGAGACGAAGATTTAGTGGATTCTCCTAGGAAGAGCGAAGAGGAAGTGACAGAGCTTCTATTAGGCTCGGATGCTGAGATCAAGGGGAAAGCTGTAGGGTTCATCGAAGCATGGAAAATCCCCGGGGTTGCTCCTTTTGCTCTCTGCCTATTCTTTGCCAAATTGGTCGCTTACACATTTCTCTACTGGCTTCCATACTACATTTCCCATACAGGTATGCCAAAATCTATTTGTGGTCTTGAAACAATGTTGAATTCATTTGTTTTTAAATGTTTCTTGGTTGAATAGTTTGTTCATTACTAATTCTCTGGTCTATTCACCGATGTTGCAGCGATTGAGGGAAAATATTTATCAAGTGAGACGGCAGGAAACTTGTCAACAATCTTTGATGTCGGAGGAGTGCTCGGAGGAATCTTAGCCGGACACATTTCTGATCGCTTAGATGCCAGAGCCATAACAGCAGCAACTTTTATGTACTGCGTGATCCCAGCTCTCTATTTCTACCGTACTTACGGACACATTTCGATGGCGATGAACATAGCTCTCATGTTCACTTGCGGCATGTTTGTAACGGCCCATATGCTCTTATAACAACTGCTGTCTCAGCCGACCTGGGAACACACAGTTCATTGAAGGGAAACTCAAAGGCATTGGCAACCGTGACGGCAATCATAGACGGAACAGGCTCCGTCGGTGCTGCGATCGGACCATTGCTGACTGGTTACATTTCCGCCAAGAGCTGGAGTGCGGTTTTTACGATGCTCATGGGAGCAGCTCTGGTTGCAGGGCTGTTGTTGACAAGGCTAGTGGTGGCCGAGGTGGTTGTGAGAGTTTCCGAATCAAGGCCACAAGGAGGATCCCAGTCAACATCCCAAGATGAAGAAATTGATGTATGAATGATTTGTTTGTAGAAGCTTCATTTGTATAGAGTGTGTGATTGTCATAATTTTTCTTGGCTCTAGTTGTAAAAGGAAGGGGAGGAAGATCCTTTGAAGCCAAGAATTTTCTGGCAATTCTCCATGATTAACATGGCAATGCAGCATGGAGAGTGGACGCTCCCTATCTATCTGCATGTACATTTTGTACGTTGTGTATTGTTTTAATACCATAGCCATAAATTCATGGATTTTTAAGAGATAAACATAATTACACTAACATCTATATTTACCAATAAATTCAATATAATCCGATTAATTACGATAAAAATCAATAATATATATATACTCCACAAACAATGATATATATATATATATATATATATATATATATATATATATATATATATATATTGAATGTGTTTGATTTTACATCTTATATACTACACAAACAATAATATATATACATTTGAATGTTTAAATTGTTAGGAAATAAACCGAGTACGATTAATTTCCCTATAACCAGATTAGTGAGAATGCGAAATAAAAGCGGAAAAATAATACCCGAAATTGATAATGGAGTTCAACCAATTGTGCTTACGTCTCCGGACTGCTGCAGATATTTTACTAAGAGAGAAAATTTACAGTTGTTTACAAAACACTCACTACTCACAAGAAAACTCTCTAGTATTGGGAGAAAGAAATGATTTTTGGGATGGATTTGAAGCTAAATGAGCTAGGGTATTTATAGTTGAAACTTAAGGACTTAATCATGTAAATACCCTAAAGTCTAGTGACTAATTATGATTATCCCATTACAATATTTCAACAAACATCTACCAAACTTTGAAAAACCATTTTTCAAAGAAACATTTACCAAACTTTGAAAACCATTTTTTCAAAGTTGGTTGCCAAACTTTGAACTTTTAATTTGGTGCATTGCTTGACTTTCAACAATCTCCCACTTGAAGACTGATTTTAATTTGTCTTCACACCTCGATCAATGTAGTAACATTTCTGGTCTTGTTATTCTAGCATGCCAACTGAAGCTGAACACAACTTTAGTTTGTCCGTAGTCACCGTCTTTGTCAACATGTCTGTCGGATTTTGAGCTCCACTAATCTTTTCAAGTTTCAAAATCCCATCTTCCAGAAGAGATCGAATAAAATGATATCTCAATTGTATGTGCTTCATCCTGGAATGAAAAGACGGATTCTTTGCTAGATGGATAGCACTTTGACTGTCGCAATACAAGACATTGTTTTCTTGTTTCTTGCCTAACTCTTCCAAGAAACTTTGGAGCCAAACCATCTCCTTGCTAGCTTCCGTAACAACGACATATTCTGCTTCAATTGTGGAGAGAGTAACTATCTTCTGTAGTTGAAAAACCCAACTCACTGCAGTTCCTCCGAGAGTATAGACATACCCTGTAGTGCTTCTTCTGATGTCGACATTTCCGGTTAAGTCAGCATCTACATAGCCTGTCAGTATCGTATCTCCATCTTTGAAACAAAGTGCTTTGTTTGTAGTACCCCACAGATATATGAGGATCCATTTGACTGCTTCCCAATGTACCTTGCCTGGATTATTCATGTACCTGCTAACAGCTCCCACTGCATGAGCAATATCTGGTCTGGTACATACCATGGCATACATCAGATTTCCAATTGTTGAGGCATACGACACCTTTACCATGTGTGCACGTTCTTCCTCCGTCTTTGGTGACTGTTCTTTGGAGAGTCTAAAATGAACACCTAAAGGTGTACTTACTGGTTTAGTATCTTGCATGTTGAACCTGGAGAGTACTTTGTTGATGTACTCAGCCTGTGATAACATCAAAGTCCCCGACTTTGTGTCTCTCTTGATCCTCATCCCAAGAATCTGTTTTGCAGCACCCAGATCTTTTATAGCAAATTGCTTCGACAATTTTTGCTTCAAGCGTATAATCTCTTGCATGTCTGAGCCTGCAACAAGCATGTCATCAATGTACAATAATAAAATAATGAAGTTGTTGTCGAACCTCTTGAAACAAAGTGCTTTGTTTGTAGTACCCCACAGATATATGAGGATCCATTTGACTGCTTCCCAATGTACCTTGCCTGGATTATTCATGTACCTGCTAACAGCTCCCACTGCATGAGAAATATCTGGTCTGGTACATACCATGGCATACATCAGACTTCCAATTGCTGAGGCATACGACACCTTTACCATGTGTGCACGTTCTTCCTCCGTCTTTGGTGACTGTTCTTTGGAGAGTCTAAAATGAACACCTAAAGGTGTACTTACTGGTTTAGTATCTTGCATGTTGAACCTGGAGAGTACTTTGTTGATGTACTCAGCCTGTGATAACATCAAAGTCCCCGACTTTGTGTCTCTCTTGATCCTCATCCCAAGAATCTGTTTTGCAGCACCCATATCCTTCATAGCAAACTGCTTCGACAATTTTTGCTTCAAGCGTATAATCTCTTGCATGTCTGAGCCTGCAACGAGCATGTCATCAACGTACAATAATAAAATAATGAAGTTGTTGTCGAACCTCTTGATGTAGCAACAATGATCTGCTTGGCATCTGGTAAAATCACTGCTACTCATGAAACTATCGAACTTCTTGTACCATTGTCTAGGAGCTTGTTTTAAACCATACAAGCTCTTCTTCAACCTGCATACCAGGTTTTTCTTACCTGCCTCTATGAAGCCTTCTGGCTGCCTCATATAGATTTCTTTCTCCAAATCACCATGAAGGAAAGCTGTTTTTACATCTAACTGCTCAAGATGTAAATTCTCTGCAGCTACAATTTTCAACACTAGTCTGATTGTGGATAATTTTACGACTGGAGAGAAAATTTCATTGTAGTCAATACCTTCTTTTTACTGAAAACCTTTAACAACCAATCTTGCTTTGTAACGTTTGCTCCCATCATGCTCTTCTTTGATCCTGTAATCCACTTGTTGTGGAGCGCTTTCTTGCCTGGTGGTAATTCAGCTAATTCCCACGTCTGATTTGACATAAGCGAGTCCATCTCATCTTTCATGGAAGACTCCCACTTGACTGAATCCTCCACTTGCATTGCTTCATCATAGCACTCTGGTTCACCATTGTCAGTCAGCAACAAGTAGTGCAAAGAAGGAGAATACCGTTGGGTTGGTTTAGGAATTCTGGAGGAGCGTCTTAGTTCCGGTGTGCCTGGTTCTTCTTGAACTGCTTCAGGACTGATCTGAACATCATTTCCAGAAATCTCCTCGAACTCAGCAAATTCCTTTGTTTCAGCTTCGATGTTTGAGCTACTTGATTCTATGGTTGATCTGTCTTTGTACATCACATTCTCATTGAAAATGACATCTCTGCTTCTGATGATCTTCCGATTTTCGTAGTCCCAAAACCGGTAACCAAACTCATCACCACCATAACCAACAAAGTCACATTTGTTGGACTTTGTATCAAGTTTACTTCTTTCAGTAGAGTTTATGTGTACATAAGAAATACAGCCAAACACTCTTAAGTGTGAAAGGTTTATTTCTTTTTTGCTCCAAACTTCATCTGGTATTCTGCCATCCAAAGGAACCGAGGGCCCACGGTTGATCAAGTAAGCTGTAGTGTTGATAGCTTCAGCCCATAGAAATTTGGGCAATCCGGCATGTATCCTCATGTTTCTGGCACGTTCATTCAGAGTTCTGTTCATGCGCTCTGATACGCCATTTTGCTGTGATGTCATGGGAACTGTTGTCTCCATCTTGATCCCATTGTTTGCGCAGAAATATCTGAATCTACAATTTATGTACTCTCCTCCATTGTCAGACCTCAACAGCTTGACTTTTAGACCAGTCTCATTTTCCACCATGGCCTTCCATTTTCTGAAGGTATCAAAGACTTCTGATTTATTCTTCAGAAAATAAACCCACACCTTCCTTGTAGAATCATCGATGAAGGTGACATAATATAATGAGCCTGCAAAAGATGGAACTGGAGATGGTCCCATACATCAGTATAAACCAACTCTAACTTTTCAGCCTTGGGTGTCTTACCAATCTTTGCAAAGCTGACTTTCTTTTGTTTGCCAAAGATGCAATCCTCGCATAGTCCGACATCTACATTCTTTAGATCATGCAATTTCCCCTTTGACAAAAGTGTATTTATCCCTTTCTCGCTCAAATGGCCAAGCCTTTGGTGCCATATGTTTGATTTTCCATCAGCATCTGCTACTGCAATGATATTCTCTAAATTTGAGGTTATATAGAGAGTACCAATTTTCTTACCACGAGCAATGACGAGTGCTCCTTTAGTAATCTTTCATTCACAGCCTGAAAAGATTGTGCTAAATCCTTCACCATCAATCTGTCCTACAGAAATCAAATTTCTTTTGAGGCCAAGAATATGTCACACTCCTTTCAGCGTCCAGGTGGTCTGATTTGGCAACTTTAATCGGATGTCTCATTTTCCGACGATCTTCAAGGTTTCATCATCGGCTAGATGAATATTCCCAAAATCACCACTGACATAGTTCTCCATGATTTCTCGGCATGGGGTGGTGTGGAAAGATGCCCCTGAATCCAAGATCCATGATTCAATCGGACTGTTGACGCTTAGAATCATGGAATCACCTGTCTCCTCTATCACGTTGGCAGAATCTTGTGCGCTGGTATCTTTCTTGGTGCTCGACAATCTCTTTTAAAATGACCATTCTTGTCGCAGTTATAACTGGTAAAATATTTCTTTCCCGTTCTTGATTTTCCCGTTCTGGATTTCGATCTGCCTCGGTTTGAATTTCTTTCTGAAGTTCTCCCTCTAGACTCCGTGTGCAAGGCTGAGGAGGTTGATGCTTCACCCGATTCTCTTCGTCGAATTTCTTCACTCAATACCAGATCCCGAACATCGTCGAATTTTAATTTAATATTTCCTGACGAGCTGCTGACTGCTATAACAGTAGCATTTCAACTGTCTGGTAGAGATGATAAGAGAATTAAAGCTCGAACTTCATCATCAAATTCAATTTCCGCGGAACTCAGCTGGATTGTGATTGTGTTGAGCTCATTTAGGTGTTGAGCCACTGATGCCCCTTCCGCCATCCGCAAATTGAATAATCGCCTTATCAAATGAACTTTGTTTGAGGCCGATGGCTTCTCATACATACTGGAGAGAGTCGCCATAAGACCCGCCGTGGTCTTTTCCTTTGCTATGTTGAAAGCAACATTTCGGGACAACGTCAGTCGGATAACTCCGAGGGCTTGTCTGTCGAGAAGAGCACAGTCTTCATTCTTCATGCCCTCTGGTTGTTTTCCTGAGAGAGGTTGATATAGATTTTTCTGGTACAGAAAATCTTCAATCTGCATCTTCCAAAAGCTAAAGTCCGCACCATCGAACTTTTCAATTTTCACATTCCCTTCGTCTGCAGCCATCGCTCCCACTCAAATCTGGCTTCGTTTGGATCTTTTCTGACAATTCTTGCGAACCACCGTGTATTCGAACACCTCTGTCGACAAATTCGTGTTGTCGACAAAATTTTTACAATTCACAAAATTCACTCTTCACGTGAATAGTAATGAATAGTAACCTCGTAAAAAATTTGACAAAATTCACAACCAAAAGCTCTGATGTCAGTTGTTAGGAAATAAACCGAGTACGAGTAATTTCCCTATAACCATATTAGTGAGAATGCGAAATAAAAGCGGAAAAATAATACCCGAAATTGATAATGTAGTTCAGCCAATTGTGCTTACGTCTCCGGACTGCTGCAGATCTTTTACTAAGAGAGAAAATTTACAGGTGTTTACAAAACACTCACTACTCACAAGAAAGCTCTCTAGTATTGGGATAAAGAAATGATTTTTGGTATGAATTTGAAGCTAAATGAGTTAGGGTATTTATAGTTGAAACTTAATGACTTAATCATGTAAATACCCTAAAGTCTAGTGACTAATTATGATTATCCCATTACAATATTTCAACAAACATCTACCAAACTTTGAAAAATCATTTTCCAAAGAAACATTTAGCAAACTTTGAAAACCATTTTTAAAGAAACATTTACCAAACTTTGAAAACCATTTTTTTCAAAGTTGGTTGCCAAAATTTAAACTTTTAATTTGATGCATTGCTTGACTTTCAACATAAATGTGTTTGATTTTACATCTTCTTATATACTACACAAACAATAATATATAAATATATATATATATATATATTTGAATAGTTTAGGAGATTACAATATAATATTTGTTCAAGATTTTTTTAGTCGTTCACAATACGTACACACCTATAAACGCAACTACTTGAACCTAAAACCTCAAGAAGAAATAAAACTTTCTCTAACCACGGAAGTCATTTAATAGATTTCAAACAATAATATTAAAAAAACTAAACTCGATAGATAAATATATAAACATAATATTTATATCTGATTAAATTATCGACCTAATTTTTAAATTGATCATTAGAAACTTGATTTAGTTTGGCCAAATAAATTATCTTTTTTAATTTACTTAATCTTAATCTGATTAGTTGGATTAATTTAACTTCTACTTTTGTTATTACCCCAGTGATTTACGTGTTCATCACCTACTAAGAAAAGAAGATCTAACCTACCTTGGATGGCCCTTACTGAATTTGATTCATCTACCGCTAAATTTTGTATGGGCCACTTGGATATCATAGTTAGTCGGGTTTTTTTTTAATTCGGGTTCAGATCAGGTCGGTTTGAGTTTTTTAAATGTGATATTCAGGTCGGGTCGAATTCGAGTTTAGGGTGAAAAATACCCGACCCGACCCGGAAAAAATAATTTTACCTTATATATTTAAGAATAATTATAATAATACTCATCTATATATTATTATTTTTAATTAAATCACTGTTTTTATTTAATAAAAATACTATTTTCTATTATTTCGGGTCGAATCAAGTTCGAATTTTATCTCAAAAGGTAAGATCGGGTCGGATGGATGATATATATTATACGGGTCGGATTCCGGGTGGAGGAGTCATTGTTCTCAGGTCGGGTCGGGTGGACCAAAAATCCGACCCAACCCGACCTATGTCCATCCCTAATTATAGTAGATATCGCTGGTGTATTGGCCACAAACTTGATCTTGTTACCGTGGAAACCAATAATTAATAGGGTACAGGTAAGGTATGAATCATCTGAAAGCCACAATAATTATATTATAACAAGGTTAAAGTAAACCTGCTATTTATCTCTCCCTACCGGCTGATTAATTATTGTATTAAATTATTTGTCTTAATAATGACTAATTGTTGTATTAAATTATGAGTCTTAATATGTGATGGTTGATCTTCATACTAACTAATAAGTAGGATTAAACTCAGAATTTTATATCATAAATATAAATTTTTAAGAAATTATATTAAAAATTTATGTATGAAATTATAAAATTTAAAAAGGATAAAATTAAATCATCAATAAAAAATATAAATAAAATATTTAAATTATATAAAAATTTAATTTTTTTTTAATAAATATGACCGTCTTCAATAAGCCTCTATTCATCCCAGTAAAGTGACAGCTTTCTAAATTTTGTAATAGATTATTAAGAAATCTTTCTGCGCAGTTAGTAGTTCGGCCCACTAGTAAAGGGACCTGGCTGCCGTTAGCACATGAACATCATGGGCCTAAAAGGAAAATTAGTCCTAAACATTGGCTTTAGGAATAGACATTATTAACCTTTTTCAATGGATTCATCTTTTATTTAAGTTCAATCTAAATTTATATTAATTTATTTGTATATTGTAATAATGTTCTGATTTATAATTATTTAAACATATTGATTATAATTATAGTTATATCTATAATTTTAAGTGAGAGAGATTAAGTAGAAAAAAAACTCAACTAGCTATGAAGTTGTTTATTAGCAAGTATGATCTTAAATGAACAAAAAATTGATAAATTATAGGTTTAAATGTCACATTTGTTTCTGTAGTAGACTTAATTTATCATTTTCGACCCTATCGTATTTTCGTTACAATTTAATTCTCAAAATTATTTAATTACATTATTCTATATCATACCCTTAACTTAAAATCGTAAATTGATAACCTTAAACCTCAAACCTTAACCTCTAATTTAAAACCATCAATTTAAAGTTATAAGTGAAGAGTAGAATATAGAATACTACAATTGAACAACTTCGAGGACTAAATTGATACAAAAATATGATAGAGGCGAAAATGATAAATTAAGTCTACTATAAGGACAAAAATTATTCTTTTACCTAAATTATATGTAAATTATTTGTTTATCAAATTAAATAAAGTGTATGAAAAAAAAATTCATATTATTTTATTAAATGAATGTATTTAAATAAAAATATGTTAAATTCATTTATATTTATGAAAAATTTTGTTATTAATTAATTTGTTTATAAACTCGTTTATTAATTTATTTATTTAAACCTTCTATTAAATTCGTAAAAAAATAATTACAATATTTATTTTTATGTATAATTATTAATATTCATGTTTACGAAAAAACATGAACGAAGTTAATGGTGAATTGTCACTTTCTAGAGATATTAGAAAAGAACAAACGCTGAGTGAATAAGCCCGGTTTTATTCATTCCTCAGCAACGAACAAATCCAAATTCAATGCAGTCACAAAAACATACAATGAAAATAAGATTCCAATTGCAAGTTCTAATCAAACACCAACTTTACGGGGAAAAATTCTAGGTTTTTGTTTTGCAAATCCCAATTTCATATTTGATCATAAAAGAGGAATTCTGTTTTCTTTCCCATAACTAATGAAGAGAAAAACAACATTGAACCTGTTGATTCCATTGGCATTTAGGATCTAATCGTCATCCTTGTTCTTGGGCTTGCGGTAATTCTCCTCGACATGCTTGGCTATGAAGAAGGCGGAGTCGGCAAGCTTCTTGACGTTGGGAACGTTGTAGTTTTGGGCAACGTAAATCCCGCAAACTGTGCCTGCGATGAAGGGAAAACAGCTTTTTATTATGCCCATGCTTTGCTGTAATAGCTCGGAAATTTCGTTAGGATCGGAAATAAGGGATTTGGGGTTATAATTTGGGGATCGGGATTTTTTTAGGGATTTAGGGCTCTGTGAATGATCCAAATGGTTCCTGCAAGATCGGAATTTTGACGGAAAATAAGTTTGAACTCAGAGGGCTTAATTGTCATTTGATAAGGGCAACACAACGAAAGAAATTGTTTAAGTAAATTACCTATTTAGTCACTTATCTATTACTTAATTTCTATTTCAGTTAGTCTTATTTAAAAAATTAAAAATGATGTTGTAATGATATTTTTTTTATTTCTTTAATACTTACATGTAACTTTTAAATTATTTTTTTCTCATATAAACAATTTAATAAGATTTTTTTAAATTAATTTTATTCAACCAGTAGGATAATAACATGGATTACCATATTAACTATGTTAATTTTACCATACCATATATTTAAGTTACGATAATAAAATTTAAAAAAAAGAAATTAATGTTGACCGAGCACTTGAGCTTCCTTTAGGCTCTTATACCTCCTTGGCTTTGCTGGCAAATTTTGTGCTCAATGTGTTTATTCAACTCGTCCTCTCTCTAAAGGTCAGTTTAATCTTTTTCCATGAGCCTTAATGTATTTTGAAAATTTGACTTTACAATGATATAAATTCCATGCAATGATTATTTGTGTTAAGAAATGGATTTAACAATAATTTTCTATTTAAGATCCTTCAATACATGATTCTAACTTGAAGCAGTACTTTCAGCAATGTACATGACAGGTTAATTAAAGATAAATATGTTTGAGCAATGTACACCCTGCTTTGTGAAATTTGGTTAGTACTTTGGAAGAATCGTTTTGAAAGGATAAACAATTGAAAACATGATTGGAACTTTAATTGCCGGTCCTCTCCTTAAACAAAAGCTGTGGAAATGTCAATCAAATTAGTCATTCTTAGAACATTAGAAGATCTCCACATCTGAATCTTAGCTAAGGTTCTTCCTAGTTAGCATGTTTATGTTATTTATCCTCAAGGTATTGTGTTTTTTCTTTGACTAAAAAAGGGAAGGTTAAATGGAATAACCGTTGATTGTTAAAGTGAATTCGTAATAATTTATTTTTATAGAGCCTTGTCCAATTATTGTGGTTTCTGTTTCCGTTGTGCAGACTGTTTTTTTTTTTTGGGTGAGTTATACCCCTTAGAAACTCGGAAGTTAGTAGAACGCCTTATCAACTATGTTATCTACAAGGTAAACATTTTAAATGATTTAAACAGTTTGGTTACTCGTACAAGCCTCCTAGCTCCTGCTTCCTCCTGGAATATATCTTCTCAGTTCTGCATCTGTAGAACAATGGGTGCTGCTGTATTGTTAGTACTGAATTGAGCAACTGAGCTAAATAAATTGCTTAGCCAAAAAGGAAAAAGAAGCTAAATATCTTGTGTCAGTTGGCGTAAGTTGCTCCTGTTTGATAACTGATAGTTTTATGGTAAATATTATGTTTGAAATTGCTTATTCATTTTTGATTATTTCAATCAGAAATTATCTCGACAGGTTTCTAGGGTTATTTTCTTGTGAGGTTCATATTTCAATTTTTTTCTTCTTCACTAATGCTGATAAATATTGATGATTTTTGACACAGGGGACCTTTCTACCATTAGCAATTGCACCAACGGTATTCCAAGCAGGCCTTTGGTCAATTTGGTTGATTGTTATATGTTGTCTAAAGGTATATAAATGTAATTTGTGATGGAGGTCTTGTTTTTAGCTCACATTGGAAGCAATTGAATTGCTTTTTTTGCATCCTAACATTTTGCTGAGCAAATGATACAGATGTTTCAAGCTTTGGCCAGGGATAGATTTGAGCGTTTGAATGCCTCCCCTTCTGCTACACCATGGGCATACTTTCGTGTCTTTTCTGTGTTTCATTTTGCCCTCTCCTTCAGTTTATTTTGGTATTGCTCTATTTCTTACTTTTTTGAATTAGGAAAGTCTTTCATAAACACCCTTTTGGATTTGCAAGTAGTGTAATACAAAAATATTTTTCTGTGTAGTTACCAAGCCTCTAGGAGTTGATATATGATTTATTAATTTCGTTACTTTTTGTATGCCCTTTCAAATGTAGTGACCAAGAGAAGTAAAGTACCTGTTTTTCAAAATCCTGCTCTGGCATTTCTTCATTTCATGCAGGCAGTTAAGCTTTTCATATCTTATCTAAACTATTTAAGTTACTATGTGGGTTCATTTCAGGATTTGGCTGAGCTTTATGTTATACAAAACCGTGAATTCATCCATGTTTTTCTGTTGTTTTTTGAACCTCTAAGTATCGCTTTTGAGACCATGCAGGTATCCTTATTGAATGTTTTTTTTTTTGGGGGAGGGATTTTGTGATAAATATGTTCATTCTGAATGTTCTGGAATACGGTTATTCTGTGAAAGTTATTGGATCATGGTTTGATGAGGTGCTCTTTGTTGTATCTACTATTCTCTGTAGGCTATACTCGGGTTTCAGCTGCTTGAAATATCACTCCATTCAATCAGGAACAATGCTGATTGCCAAAGAGAAAAACTTTTTGATTTATCAGCTGCAGGTATTAACTTTTTCTTTTTATACTTGGATGTGATTATTGAGTGTTGATAGGTTGGCTATTATCAATGGTTATCTATTTATGGAGTTCATGGCTTGTAAAGTCTTGTTTTAAGCTGCAAATGTAAGGGTTTCATTGTTTCATCATCATTCACATTAAACTAATCTGGCCTGTATAATAGTAAGGCCATATGAATAAGTTGAAAAGGCATTTTTCTTCCTTACATGTCTGAGTGTGGCTCAATATCTAATTCTTTCAGATTACAAAGTTTATATCTTTGGTTCTCTGTAATTGCTAAACCTTTCTAGGCTTGAATGTTATTTTACTCTTTCATGAGTTTCTTTCCTCATTAATTCATAAGTTTGTTGCATTCCTTAGCTATTTAACCTTTTCCTTTTTAAGAATGGTTTTCTTATTTGGTCGTCTGGCTGAAAATATAAGGTTCTTTCTTGTTATCATTTTCTATTTGTTCTCTTCTCTATCTGCCTACACTTCTTTTCTTTTAACTATTGCACATGACTGCAGGTTCATTTTGGGAATGGAAGGGCATTCTTATTCGCAATATAGGTTTCTTCCTTGACATGGAAACACTGTTAATGGCACTTGGACACTATGTTCTTATTTGGTGGCTCCATGCATGGCATTCCATCTCGTAGATGCAGTTCTTTTCTTGAATATACGTGTAAATATTCTGTTGTTCTTTATGTTATTTTACAGCTCAATATATCCAGAAGTTGACATCCCAATTCACATTACTTCTATTCATAAATTCAATATTTTTTTATCAGGCTTTACTAAGTGCAATTGTGAAGCGTGTAAAGGGATTTATTAAATTGAGAATGGCATTTGGGGCTCTTCATGGAGCACTGCCTGATGCAACATCTGAAGAGATACGAGCATATGATGATGAATGTGCCATATGTCGGGTATTGTCTGGTCTTTATTGTGCCTTTTCAGGATTTTTACTGATTTCTGAAGGTCTAACTAATTTCACAAAGCTCAGGAACCTATGGCCAAGGCTAAAAAGCTTCACTGTAATCACCTTTTTCATCTTGCATGCTTGAGATCCTGGTATGGTTATATTATATAAGTTTGATTTGTCTTATTGCCGGTGTGTAGATGAACCTAATGCTGGATATTACATGTCATGGCAGGTTGGACCAAGGCTTAAATGAAGTTTACTCATGTCCCACATGTAGGAAGCCACTTTTCCTGGGAAGAAGAGAAATTGAGGCAAATTCTCGCTCTGCAGAAGCCTTAAGTGATGAGCAGTTGGCCTGTCAGATAAATTCTGGTCTAAATCGACCAAATATGCCTGGTCACACCCTACCTGCTGGAGTATTCCCGAATCATATGCAGAATGCAGAAGGTGGGCCTTGGAGGTATGGTTTCTTAAAATTATTCTTCATAGCTTGGCTTGGAATAAAAGCCTGTGATGCCTTGTAGAATAATTAGTTCATTCATTGTTATTGAGCATGTGAAAGCTGGTGTCGTAGCCTTTTGGGAGGGTTACTCTGTTGTACCTTCTGTTTGGATAGTCAATTAAGAAGTTCATATTGAGATGGGAAACATTTACTCTTCTCGATTATCAACTGAATTTCCTTCTCTTGTTAATAGTCATTCCTTGTTAAATACGTTTGGCGGAATGATATGACGAGCTGCTAAAGAGAAAGGTGCCTTCAGTTTGTGGAAAGGAGTAAATGGCATCATGTGCATTATTTCTTCTGTTGGTGTAAACGAGGGGAAAGATATTATAAGTTTCTGATGCCTTAATGATTGATTCTGATTTTTATTGCAAATCAAGTAGTCAATCAACTATTTAGAAACTGGTTGCAAAACGTTTCACTATTCGTTCTGCTTCAGTGTGCTCATCAGGATATATATTATCTGTCCTTTGCAGGAGTGCGGGACTGGATTCTGAATGGTTGCATTCTTGGCCAAGCCAGAATGTTGATGGAGCTGGTCCTTCTACCGATACCATATCAGTTGGACTTGGGAGAGTTCATATGATGATGACTGCTCAGACTGCTCAGACTGCTCTAGAAGATACTGCTTGGAGCCTTTGGCCCATGAACCCATCTCAGGCTGCTGCAGCTGCTTCATCCATTCCTCCAAATGTCGGTGTAAGATACCCCACAAACACTGGAAGTTTACATATTAGGACTGGTGCACGCACAGCAAACGACGGTGTAGCAAATACACTTGCCATGGCTGAGATTGTACCGGAGGTTTTTCCTCATGTCCCAGATGAACTTATTTTTTCAGGTATTGTTAGGATCTACGGCAGTAGATTAAGGTTTTTGGCATACAATTCTAATGTGACGATGCATTGAATTTTCTGTTTCTTTTTAGCTGGTTTATCACCTCTTTGGGGAAGGGGGGAGATTACTCACAGGATATTGAATCCATCCCGTTTTCTGTTTCATCGTATATAATGAACGGAATTTGCAGGATTTGCAGAAAACAAACTCTGTTATGGTCACTGTGAATAATCTTCTCCAAATGTGACGATGCATCGAATTTTCTTTGGACATGAACAGTGGGCAGAGGTATTGAATTAAAAGAGATGATTGCTTCCTCTGATGAAGTTTCATCTTCCTACAAATTATTTATTCAAGACGGATGGTCCTCTGTGTATATATATAAAAAAGGCAAGTTTTGGTGAGAGAAAATAACTTGAGTGATCGAAAATACCTTATAATATACGGTTTTAACAATTTTTTTTTGATTTACGAAAATGACTAACAAATTCGCAATGCGAACTCTAATTTCGCAACTCAATTTTTAAAATTCGCAATGCGAATATGTAAATCGAACAACGAATATGTAAATCGCAAAGTGAATTTATTTTTAATCAAACTCCCAACACATGTCAAAATTTTAAGGTTTTCGTTGGGACCCATGTCTATTTTCTCAATGCAAATTTGTATTTTCGCAATGCGAATCCTCTTTTAGCAATGTGAATTCTCTTTTCCCTTATCCTCTCCTGCTTCAATGAATCAACCAAAGGAACACAAGCATCCATCTGCTAAGGTTCCAAAAGGGAACCCATATCACAGTGCAACTTCCGGTGAAATGGCCATATATCGTGCGAACAGTCTCATCCTTAAGAAGGTGAGCTCGTTGTTCTTTTGCTAAACTCCATCTCTAGATTTTCTTTCTTTCGAATCGTCCACTTCCATTCTATCTCTCGTCATATCGTTGAATCTTTTTGTTTCCACTTTTTATCTGTTTGCTAGGCGGGTGTCCAAGTGGAGGAACCAGTGCAACAGGTTTTCAACGGGCAAGAGGTGGAAGTGGGGATTGCTCATCCCTTGATTCTGTTTCTTCATCTCCAAAACATGTATATGTTGCGAAAGATGAACTGGATATGACAAACACTAGTCCCGTGACAGTTACATCGAATTTATTTGGAGCTTTAAGTTCGACGCCAAATGTTTTGGGTTATTCTGATGTTGGAGAAATGGATATTAGGAACTCCTCTCCCTAACGAAATGGATATTGGGAACTCCATTTCTTCATCTCCAGAACCCATAGAAGTTGTGAGGAAAGATTGAATGTTCACACCTGATCCACCATCTGCACTTCCTACATTCACTCCCGGAAATTGAAACAGGAGATACAAGGGGTGGAGAGGGGGGAAGAGAGAGTCTTTGGCTTTGAAGCAGGAGAGGATAAGGGGGATAAGAGGAGCTTGCGAAAAGAGAATTAGCATTGCGAAAATAAACATGGGTCCCAACGAAAACCTTAATTTTGAGACACGTGTTGGAGTTGTGATTAAAAAGAAATTCCCGGCGAATTTCAAATTCTATGTTGCAAATTTTAAATTCTGTATTGTGAATTTTTGTCGGTTATTTTTCGTAAATTTAAAAAAAATCGATTAAAATCGTATATTATAAAGCATTTTCGATCATTGAAGTAATTTTATCAACAAACTATTCACATGTTTAAGAAAATGAATAATTAATTTATTTTTTTGCCTTCGCCGATATTCGATTAGATTTTATTTCAATATGATTATAATATATATTAGAATAAATTGTAGTATCAAATATCACTTATTTTTTTAATTATTGTATCAAATGTTATTAAATTATAAATCGTATCGATTGCAATATTAAATTTTAGTTTTACAATTAATTATACATTTAGGTTGTTAGATAGTAAATGACGCATGAATATAATGATGTTTTAGACAATATCGGTTCTTATGTTTATATAGATTTTTTAATTTATACATTGATTTTGTCATTAAATTTTAAATACTTAATTTTTTTCCGTTGTTGATGGTTAATCGTCGTTTGTCACCAATTCTCATTCATGACATGATTAATATCAATGTAAAATCGTTTTACACTTTTTTTTAAGTTATGTTTATCTTTTCAAAATAATATTTTTTTATTATCTAAATTTTTGAACTAACACTTGAGATCTTTCAAATTCAAGAAAGGTCTTAAACTATCTAAAAATGGTGAATTTTTTTATTCAATTTCGTGAAATTTCAAAAAGTTTTGAAATTTTTAAAATTTTTAAAATGATAAAAAAGATAACGAGACGAGTTTATTGACAATTAGAATGAGTGAAAAAATTTCAAATTTAAGAAAGAAATGGTGAAATAAAAAAAATCAATTTCCATATTATCACTGCATCAATGCCAAACTATTATGCTATTCGATCATTAATACGTTAAAGGCCCGATAATATAATTATATATAACTACGTATAAAATTAAAGTTTACTACTCAATCAAATCAATTTATACTTTAATCGCAAATTTTATAAAAATAAAATAAATTTAACTATCATTATTAATTTTTTTATTATATATTAATCTAATAAACTACAGTCACTTTATAGGGGCGGAGCTTAGTGAGGGTCCAAAGGGACTCCTACCCCTGTTAAAATTTGAATATTCGGTATAATTTTGGTCTAATAGTATTTTGGTTCATGTAAAAATAAATATTTAAGTTAAAAATATAAGAATTTATTAAATATTTAATCAAGTAAGGAACGAACTAGAAGGATAATCTTGTGTTCTCAAATTTTTTGGTCTAATAACAATTTAGGTCATTGTAAGTTTAAATATTAGATAAATTAGGTGTTATCTTGTAAATTTTGAGTTTTTTTTTTAAATTTTTTTTTATAAATCTAGGGTAATATTTGTACAAATACTCTCAACTATTTGACAATAAACGCTCATACCCCTACATGCGCAGTGCTCGAAAGGATAATAACAATCTCTTAATCACTAAGGTCGTTTGATTCGTGTTGAATTTTAAATTTAAATATCTAATAAGTCTTTACATTTTTCTTAAATATTTTAATATTTTGATCTCTATAAATATTTAGTTTTGGCTCGTCCCTTCCCTTGTTTCACATAACCAAGCATCGAAAACTCTAATTAATAGTAGTGTAACATATGTAATTCAATAGGTTTTTTATTTGGATCGTTTGGAAACAGTAACCGTCACCAAAAAGTTTAACTTTTCGTCCAAGTAACCGACACATCCCATGAACTCCAAACTATAACTAAATCAAGAAACACTCGCTTGATACTGATCTCCTCGTTCTTCTTCACAAGAAAGCCAAAAAAATAATAATAAAGAAACCCGCTGAAAGAAGGCGAGGACAAGAGATGACGAAGAGATACACAATTTTGCAGAAGAAACTGAAAGAACTTGAATCCCAACTAAACCAAGTGCTTTCTCTTCCACTGAACACCCAATGCCACCAAAGTTTATCCCAAGACATCCAACAGCGCTTCCTGTTCTTGAACAATCTTTTGTCCGCCGAAGTTGCTTCTCGTCCAAGAAACCCTTTCCACTTGCAACACATTACCGGGAGGTTATTGGAACTTGAAGCCGCTTTCAAGGAGTGGGATAGTTTTCAATCTTCGGCACCCGACCACGTCGAAAAGGGTTCGCCTTGTTCTTGCACCGAGTCGTGCCTCAATGACGATGGCGAGGAGGTGGAGGCAGCCGAGGAGGGTTCTTCTGAGTTGATCAGTTTGTCTGATTTGGAACAAGCGGCCGAGGCCTCGACTGAGTTGGGTTTGGTGGCTGGTCTGGATTTCGAAGGTTTTAAGGAACAAGATGAGATGGAACATGTTGAGAAGGAGATGAAAGAAGAAAAAAATTGGGTTGAGGAGACGAAGAGAAGCATGGTTAGAGAAGGAGAGAGGAATGGAGTTTGGTTTGGTAAGAGTTTGGCATGCGGAGTACTCATTGGTATGATTTTGATGGCTGTTCTGATGGTTAGATTTTCCGGATGCTGCCGTTGTTATGAGGGTACTGATTATACCGACTCCCTTAGGCCTACTTAGATGCTGATTTCTATTGAATTTTGAGGGTGAAATTCACCAATTATTTCCAGATGCTGATATCTGGTATTTTTAGCAGCTTGCATTAATGGACCAACCATTTATTTGTACTACTCTTTTAGCAAAGGGTTCAAGTGATACAATATATAAGAGCTTGGGATGGAGGAATGATTCATAATAATTTTTTTTTTGACGAAATACACAATTCATCATAACTAGCCATAAATGGCATTAGTCAAAAGCACATCACGAGGGGCAGTGATCGGGATTGCATGAGCAGCCACCACCAGGCCGTGGTGATTCCCAGAAATGATATTCAGTGGGACATGCACCTAATTAATTAATTAATCTTGATATAATTATCTATATCTAATCTATTAATTAATTAATCTAAATTTTATAGTCTTTTTTTTAAAAAAGTTATCATGATGTATGATGTCATTTTCCCAGCATCATCCATAGATTAAAATCTTTTTGGATCAACTCCAAATAGATTATAGGTATTGTATATTTTTTTATTAAACTGATGCCCGTTTGAGTTGTCAATCTCATGAATTACAAAACAAATTAAGCAGACCGCAGGAATGCTGCCCTCTGTCGAGCCACGATTGCAGCACGATAAAACTGATCCCTCAAGGAAGCCAAAGTTATTGCCCCGCAACAGCTGCTGCTTCCAGTTCTTCATTTGTCAGGAACCTGGTTGAGGAATGAAAATCTGTTTCCGAGCAACTTTCAGTCGCTTCCGGCTCAAAAGATCTCAAGGAAAACTGGGTCCCAGCTGCCTCCACAGTTTTATCAATGAAAGTTGATCTCGGCATGTAATCCTTCAGTCGACATATGAAGTCTAAATGCCCCCTTGCAGATCGATATGCAGGAGCTCGTTTAGGAAGCTTTAGGTAAGCCATGTTACGGACATCGAAGTCCCATAAAAATGATGTGTGGTGGATCCACTTATTCTTGGTAATGGATTGAGCATTTCCACCAAACTAGTGGTTACCGAACACATAATCATTTTCACGAAGATGGAAATCACCAATTCCTTGGAAGACTTTGCTGTATAAAGTGCTGCTCCAAGACATGATTGGTCGAGGATATGGCTGTAAGTCAGGGACTGCTTCTTTGTTGCATATAAAAGTGACAAATATTGTCCCATGGTCAACAATAACAGTACCTCCCCCGGTAAACCTTCTTATGACAGGAACCTGATCGCGCAACACGGATTCAATTTCAAGAAGTTCAGCAGGTTTCCCTGAAACACCCATTACAATGGTGGGATCATTAGTGCCATCGTTGATTATGCACCAATTCTCTGATGAAGTTCGAAGCAGTTGTTCCTCTATATGTAGTTGCTGCAAAATGGGCAATCCTTTGAATCTCATAAGATTCATCATTGGAAGGCCAATGTTTCTGGTCGGAGGGATAAACATTTTAGAACCGGAACTTGAATTCCGGGCCGGACTTTTTCTCCTTTCAAATTTCAATAAGGGACTTTCCGCTGATACGGCAGCTTAAGGTTTGAAACAGGAGGAGAATCTTCTGCCCTGTTTAGTTGCTTTATCATCATCTTCTTCATGCATTTCCTAATCTTTTCATGCTTCTTGCTTTGAAGGAATCCAAAGACTAGTGCATGGATCTCAACTTCCACAGCTCCTCACCTGGTATACTTGGGAACAGAAGCAATGTTGTGTAGAGAATCCTATCTTTTGCAAACTTCAATATCACAAACTTCCACAATGTCTGTCTGCCAGATTTAAGCACCAAGATTTGCACGTTGCTTGAAGAGTGTGCGAGTGACTCAGTCAAAGCAGGTTTTTTCTCTTTCAATTTTTCCTTAAAACGCATCAGAAGCCCGCAACGTCTAACCGACACGAACACTGTTTCAACCACAACTCAGTCGTCATAAAGCCGTCGTATCAGCCCGGAACCAGTACATCTCAAGAGTGACAAATATAGCAAGCAAAATCAAAAGAAGGAAATCACAATTTTAAAAGAGGAAAAAAGAGAGAATATTTCCTTCCAGGCTCCGAGCTTGATGATTTCCGACTACTGAAGTGCAAACGTCTAACCGACGGTCAAAGCATG